CTAAATAATACTTTTGTATATGTATATATGATAATTATGGACTATTCTTATGTAACAAAACACAGAAGTTGCCTCCTCTTCACACTTAATAAATTCAGTATAGCACACAACTACTGAAATTAACTATTCTTAAGTAATGGTTACACCTAAAACAAGATTTCTACTCCGCTGCCCCTCACATCTGGAACTCCCTCCCTGAACATCTGCGAAAACCCCAGTCTGTGGACGCTTTTAATAAGGCTTAAACCTTTTTTGTTCAGGCTTGCGTTCTTTAGTTGTCCTTTTTAATTTTTTTATTTCACTTGCCTTTCAATTCCTCTTTTAGCTGTTTTCTTAATGTATTTCTTCACTTTTTTATTTGTTTACTGTTTTATGTGTTATTTGCCCTTTTAGTGTTTTTTTTTTTGCTTTTTTTTTTTTGGTTTCTGTACCTTTTTGAATTTTTATGAAAAGTGCTTTTTAAAATAAAATGTTTATTTTATTTATTATTTTTAATAAGTTTGTTTTATTTTAGATGTACTCCCATTCAGTGTAGATTAAAAAATCACCACAATAGTATTATCTTCCGTTTTATTATATGCACTTTTCAAACACTCATAAAAAGTTTTTTTTGTTTTTTGAAGTAATCCAAATGTTGCTGCATAAGAAGGGTTTGTTGGTTAAGAAAAAAAACAACGGTTAAAGACCTTACTGACAAGAAATAAAGCTTTATATAATCGGCTTAGGATAAATGAAACTGAAACTGACGATGTGTACTTACAGTACGCTACAGAATAGGATATTGTGCGTGTTCTAGGTAGACACACGCAGCATTATTGTGTGGTAACCATCCTTACAGAATAGGCGTCTTTTATGCAGGTAGGTTGCGTTCTTAATATATGAATTTAATAAAGTTGTGGAGAGGAGAACTTAAATTAGGAACTGTGGTGTTAAAGCTGGTTAGCTGGTAGTGTCAAGAACTACTTTAGTGAATTGTTATGGGTTGGACTTCCCTTGTTTAGAATGTGGAATATTCTAAGTTAGGCGACTTTATTACGGTTATTTTGACGAGTAGTTGTTATTATATTACTCAAAAATGTATCAAGTGTGTATTAAGGGGAATTAGTATTTGTACTGTGTTGGTCTACAACTCTGTGATACCTACCTTTGATTATAAACTGTTATAGTTCTCTTTCTTTCCCCTCTGCAATCGACTCCACAGAGCCAGTTGACAGGACAGTTGCAGGAGTCACATTCAAATGAACCACCTCGTCACATTTGACAGCTGGCTTTCTGTTTGGACAACTGTGCTTCTTTTGCACAACTGTTTTTGCCCATGCCTATATGGTCTTCAATCAATTCATTAATTTTTATTTGTTTATGCGCAATTCATAACAAGTGTATTCTCGGACACTTTTTTCATATTAGAGCAGGTCTTTATGATCCATGATTTGTTTTCTTTTATACATTTTACAGTAGCCTATTACATGTACCTACCTATGCTGCTAGTAGCACTTGGCGACGGGGCAATGGAATAACTGCTTTTAACGCGAACCTCGCGACCTTTTCGGTTAGGTGGGTGGTCATCTTGCTTGCCAGTTGGGGGAAAAAATGTGAGGAGAGATGAGAGAGATGGGTTACATTCGAGAGATGTTCAGAGAGCAAGATGTACGCACACAGAGAACAACTAATTAACAGTATTAGATCGTGTGCGTCTTAGAAAGACGGTGACGACGGCGACAGCAGCACGACAGGGGACAGCGTAGCAGTCGACCAGCAACCGCAGCACACAATCCGTCACAGCAACTAAATATAACGCATAACTATCAGTGATATAGCGAATGGCCCATCTAGCAGGAAAACCATGGCAGGGCTCCACCAGGATCATGGAACCTTGCAGCGATAACAGCACAAAGAAACTCGAGGGAAGAAGTGAAGTTGCTAACATTGCATTAAATGGGACATGAATGATTGCAGACAGAAACACAGAACCAACAAACCTGCGAAAGGAGGAGAGAGGAAGAGAGCGGCTCGTGCCCATTGGGAAAAGTTCCCGCCGCAGAATAGTCTAGGCCTTAGGCAGCGATACTGAAGAGATGTTTCACGGTCTCACCTGGATCCAGCCTGTAACGTATAGCTTTATCGAAAGAGAAATGTTTAAAGATTATCTGTAAAATGGTGGATTGAGGCGTGTCTTGCTCCGACCACAAACTGGAGCTTGGTTCCACAAGGAGAGGAGCTTGGTACGATGGACAGCTCTGGCTCCTGTTTCTCTTTAGAGTAAGGAAACAGAAGTAGCCAGCATTCAGCGGAGAAGAGTGTTCTTAGAGGAGTAACTAGTATTTGGTACTATTTGCTCTTCAAGATATTTTGGACAGGGGCCTGACCATGAAGAGCGTTTATAGGTGAGGAGGAGATTTTAAATTCTATTCTAAATTTAACAGGAGCCAATGGCAGAGAGCAGACAGGAAGCATTCATTATGCCACTGCCACATCAGAATTTTTTTAAAATTACTGTATATTGAGTTTTTTTTTTTTCTTTTTTACTTTATGTACCTACTTCAATATTGTCTTTTTTACGTAGGTTCTATTTGTTGGGAATATTTGTGTTTGTATTATACTATTGTATTTAATGCGTCGGTATCAGGGTGGACAGCAAAGAAAGAATTTCATTGCACAGAGGAAACTTGCTTTCTTTTGTTGCATATGACAATAAACATCTTAAAACTTGAAACAGCCTTATAAGGTAATATCAATAAAATCATAATTCATGCACATCTTCCTTACTTACTATTAATAAGCAGTAATTCAGAGTTTGTAGAATACAAAATAGAATCTAAAATCATGCAGGATAAGGCATTAATAAGTGCTTCATAATGAATAATCACTGTTTACCTTCTTTTTTTTTTGTTAACTTTTTTTTCATCCAAATCACAAAAATCTCTTTGTCTCTCATCATGCAAATAAAATTCCACAAAAGATATGCACTTGTCCTTGTCATTGTCAATTAATGAGTGTAAAAGATGGGATATGAGCTCGACAAGCAGACTGGTGCATCACCTGCTTTTCATGGTGAGCAGGAGCAGCACCAGTCGGATGGGGTCACCCAAACTGCCACCCCAGTTTTGGACATTCTAATTAAAAAAAATATATATGAAAAGCTGTGGCTAGATGAAAATTTACAAGGGCAAAAAACACCATTGTTGGAGTGCAAGTGATTTCGACAAGAGTTGATGCTCCCTCCCTTTCCCCTCTCTTAACGGGCGCTGTTTGCATGGTAACAGGACTTTGCATACATTCATAGCCCCATAAAATAAGAAACAAGCAAACCTTGCCACCGTGTAGTTCCAGTAGGTGCAAGAGGACACAGGCTTGGTAACTGTCCCTACAGCAGGCAGCAGCTCCATTTTCTCCAGTCCCTGGCAGCTTTCTCTGCAGCCTCTTACGGTCCCAGGTTGTGCCAAAAAGTAATCTCCTGCCAAAAACTGACTACTGTCCACTTTAAACATAAAGATTGGTTATAATTTAGGGTACAGAACAGGTCAAATAACTTAATTGAAAAGACATTTTTATTTTTATTTTATAAATAATCAAATAAATCATATTTCAGTCAGACAGCTCACGTTTGAAATGTTTATTAGCAGCTTAAGTTGACTGCCTGAACTAGATCGCAAGCTTTGCTCCATTAATTACAGTCTAGTTTCCAAATATAGGCCTAAAAGGGTATTAGACATATTAAATACATATATCGGAAACAACACTATAACCATGATCAATCAATCATTAATACCTCATGGCTGAAACACTTCTTTGGCCACTATTGTGATTATTTGGTTACAACTAATTTTATTCATGTAACGTTGCACTTCACAGTTCGCCTGTCAATGGCGTCATATCCCCTTTGTGCATGCATCAGTGTTGTGGTTGTCTGCCAGAAGCTGTCATACATTAAAAAAATCCAGGTTCCACAAAAGTAGGTTAGTTAATGAAAATTGTTTTCTGTCAGGTCAGGTTCAGGTGTTGACAAGGGAATGTTTGGACTTTCCACAGAAGATAGAGTGCTGTTGGGTTAAAGAGCCTTTACAATTAAACATTCACTTGGGTTATCTTCCATGCCCCACCCACCTCACGGTTAGTTTGTCTGACAGCAGCTTCTGTCTCATGATGTGGATCATTTTATTTTTATATTAAGAAGACTAAACGTATAGACATGAATGTGACAGACTGTATAACCAAGCTATATAACATATTTACCAGCTAATAGAGCCCTACTGTGAACCCAGAAATGTTGAGTAGGTCAAAGTTTTATGTTATAAATGTACATTATGGTTCTGGTACAGTGACTTGCATAATTCGGGCAATTAGCATGATTAGTGTTAATAAGCATAATCGGAATATGGACAATATTGGAGTAGTTTTAGGGGTTATTGAGTCAGATTCATTTCTTTTTTCTTTTTACAATAAATAAAACGCCAGCAGAACTGAAGAAATTTTAAGAAATATTACGTCTAGACATTCACACCAATGACATTGTGCTTTCTTGATTGCAAAATGGAGGTCCAGTGGATTTAGCATATAAATAAACTCAAAATCAGTCCACTGGGAGTTGAAATATGGCCAAATCCGATTTAAACTAATTGTCTAATTGTGCTAATTATCCAACAAATATAAGTTAGCAACTGGCAGTTTCTCAATGCTGGGGACCCATACTGTGCAATTCTAATATAAAACTTTGGGGTACTCAACATTACCGGGTGATACCGGGGCGGCTGTGGCTCAGAGGCAGAGCGGGTCGTTCCCCAATCGTCCATTTACCATTTACCATTTTACTTTTGACACGTTTTTATTTTAACAAATGGCTTCTAGACAACATATCCCAGAAGCCTTCAGCAGCACTCTTACATAAAAGGCTGATGGGAGGTGTAGTTTTTTAATGAGAAAAAAAATCAGCTTTGTCCTGTAAAAAGACCCTCCCACTGAGAGTCAATCACAGTGAGCTTATAAAGCGCTGGCAGGGCGCACCGCGCACTCATCCACTCCGCTGTTGTTCCTCTGAGGACTGGCTGCCGAGCACATACCTGGAGAAGTTTGCAGGAGACAGACATGGACAAAGGTGCAAGACCCAACTGGGACAACCCCATGCAGTTTGTGCTGGCATGTGTATCATATGCGGTCGGACTTGGAAACGTGTGGCGATTTCCCTACCTCTGTCAATTGCACGGTGGAGGTAAGTCACTGATCCCAGAGCAGTTACATAATATTGTTGAATAATGATGACAAGTTTAAATTAATTTTTAATTTAAAAAAAAAGCCTAAATAGCGTGGTTATGAGGCGGGAGTAGTGTTTACACACACAATGTCTAATTTACATTTTAAATAGAGAGAGAAGTTCACTTTAAACCAGCTGATTCTCACAGATGGACTAGAGCATTTTACATTCACTTCTATACTCAACATATTCACTGTTACTTCATATAATGTGTTGTGTCATTATTTTGATATACTAAGTCAAAATATTGAGAAAGCTTCTCATTACTCTGAGATACTAAGTCATTATTTTAAGAAGGTTTTTCATTATATAGACTTATAGAGTCCTTTTTTTCTATCACATTGGCAGAAATGGGCTTCCATATTCTGCCTTTACATTTTGATTGAAATTAAATAAATACATAAATAGCGAAACAAACAAACACATAAATAGATTAGAATTAAATTAAATAGATAGAATTATCTCTAATACAGGAGAACATTTTCTGCATTTTTTTATTGACTCTGAGTCATCCTGGTAGCCTGTTTCTGGTGGTACATTTCCAAAGGAATCCTTATCAGACTGAATAAGTAATTGTTAAACAGTCTTAGGTCATAAACTAGGGTAGGTATTAGTAAAGATTAATAATTGATTAATGTAGACTATCTACAGACTTAGGAGAGAACAGGTTAACACTTTGCATTTGATGATTTTACTGCAAAATAAAAGTGAATTTGTTCCAAATAATAGTATATATAATAATAGTATATATAATATATAGCATAGGTTCAGGGCCATACGTCCCATTGTAATCAGTCTGACTGATATTACGATTGCAGTGATGATTTAGGATTAGTGTGGGAATTCTCACTTTTTCATCACAAATATAATTTTCTCTGAAAAAACTATTGGAATTATGATGATGTGAAATGTTTTAGGGTCCGTACCAAACAAACATTTTTATTACATCTGGAGAACAATCATTATCAGATCATTATAATGCTTTTCTGTCACATTTTAACCTTTATCAAAAACTTGCAGCTCCCACGATATGGATATTGCAATTGTCCATGTTGCCATTTTAATTGTGCAGCCCTACATCTACACCCATGGAAATTACAACAAGTTATCTAATTATCATAGTTTTAAAACAATGATTAAAGTTATGGCACAACTTTCTCCAAATGAAGTAAAATGAGCATAGGGATATGGTAAATTGAGCCACCTAGGGCAGAAAATGCTATTCTTGCCTGCTAATTGCAAGGTCCAGTTTGTAACAGTTAGAAGGATTTATCGGCAGAAATGGAATATAATATTCATAGATATGTTTTTATTAGTGTATAATCACATGCATAACTGTTGTGTTTTTGTTACCTTGGAATAAGCCGTTTTCATCTACTGACGCCACAGGTCGCCTGTTGAACCGCAATGTTTCTACAGTAGCCCAGAATGGATTCTCTTTTGCACTCACAAGGGGAGGGTGAAGCAAGGGAATTGCAATAGTAAGTCCATGAAACTGGCCTTCAAGTTTTTAGATGTGGCTGGCAAGTTCAAACTCATCATCAAAAATCTGATGAGCTTTTGCTAGTCTGGCGTAGCATGTGAATATTGAAGTTGCCCTCCTATGAGATAACAATACCAGCAGTGGCCCCAAGACAGAGTTTGAGACCCATGCTTTAGATCATCGAAGGAAGCTGAGCCTCTGTTTGTTTTTCTTTCCATGCCAACTTGATCTTATCTGTAGAATATCAGAAAGTAATACTTAAATACACTGATCTGCATATACTATTAAGATGTGCAGATTAAACCTTTGGGTGTCATTTGAATCATTGACTCAACTTGCCCCGACATCAGTGACACGTTTTACCCCACAACCTCCATTTTGCCTGTTTCAGATCCACAATTTTACTAAGTTTATGACTTTTTTTGCAGCTCACATTGACTTAAAGCTGCAGTAGGTAACTTTTATTAAAAAAACATATTTTTAGTCCTTGCTGAAACTTTCAATATATCCTTACAGTAGTACATCAGACAGATCTGTGAAAAAAGCAGGTTCCTCTGGATCCTCCTATGCTCCTAATGGCATTTTCCAAGAATCCACTGGGCCTGAATGAAAACAAAAAAAAGAAAAGAAGCAGAGAAAGATAGTTGATTGTTGATGCTCATTCCCAGGTCGTGAAATACCAATGCTGGGACTGTGAGACTCAACAATCAATTATCATTAAGCCTCCAACCAAAAGTGTCTTTCCATCCTTGTGGCTATGGTTTGCTAGGAGCAGTAGGAGGAGGCAGAGGAACCGGATTGATTTTTTCACAGATTGTCTGTTTCATGTACTACTGTCTGGATATAGTGAAAGTTTCAGCAAATATGACAAAAAGTTACCTAGTGCAGCTTTAAATAAAAATGCTCAATAATTATCTATTTGAATTAAGATAATTTATTAACATGATGTATTTATTCTTATTCTAGACATGACAAAGGTCTTTTCCTTTTTTTGCTCTGGTTTGCTTACCATGTTCACCATGTGCGTCAGTCTAAGATGGAGTGAGTAATGTGAGCAATTCCTTAATTTGTGGTCACATGATTACTTTTGTTTACTTTTACCTAGATACAAGGGGTGGCTCATTTTACTTAGTTGCTTGACTTATCCCGTTCTACTTTACTCATCATTATTAATACACTCAAAGTCTAATTAGAGAGAGAGACCATGTTCCCTTTCAACCAGCTGATCCTCACAGCTGGACCTGAGTAAGAAGCATTTTCCATTCACTTCTATACACAACACATTCAGTGTTATCTTACACAGTGTCTATCTAAATACTGTACGATATAATCCTTGTCAACTTGTCACACAAACAGAAATCTCTAGGGTAGTTCTGCCTTCATATTTAGCTTGAAATTAAAAATAAATAAGTAGATAAGTAGACTAATAATTATTCTGATACAGTGGAACATATTATGCACAGTTTATTGACTTGTTGCCTGTAATCATGTAGAGTCATGGCAGTGGGCTGTTTGTAGCAGTACATTTGCAGATAAATCCTTATCAGACTGAATAAGTTATTGTTAAACAGTCAGTTGACTCAAAGTTGAAACTAGCTATAAACTAATTGCAGGTCAAAAACAAGGGTATAATCAGTATAAACACTGTAAATGAATTAGTAGAGATTGATACAATATGTTACCTATCTACAGACAATGAAGACACTCTAACTCAGGGGTCACCAACCTTTTTGAAACTGAGAGCTACTTCATGGGTACTGAGT